TCAACAAATATCCCGAGCTAAACAACCCACGATCCCCTCATCATAAAGACAATGGCCAAAAAGATATTGCCAGGCGAGTCGTCGCTCTGGAGATCGGCTCTTAAGTGAGAAATCAAGTTTGATAAGGGGCCTCCACATGATTTTAAGCTAACGCAGATGTAGAAGAGGTATAGGTCTTTCAGTGAGTAGTGATAACTTGGCGTGGTTGTCTGCTGACGAGCCGCAGCGCAACATGTCCAGTGTTTGGTGGGAACGGCATTTGACACAAATGATGCTACTATAATGTATAAAATCTCACTAAAAAACCTTGGGAATAGTCTCTACTGATACAGTTCACTGTGTGTTTGCGAAGCTCTAAATCTTTAGAGCCTCCAGATGTGTATTTGAGATAATATCCATGGTGTGATTTATTGTTTTCACTACCAAATTCCAGCTGTCTTTATCATACTGCTGATGCTGCATAACACATCAGACACACCACACGGAGAAACTACTGACTCCTAATGTTGTCTGTCATATGACTGTCACACTGTCATCACCTTGTTTAACTGCTTTATTGACTCAGAGGTTTACAGATTAATGTTTGCACTGAGGAACAACAGCCTCTGTGTGGTTGTGTGTCCGTCTCTGTGAGCAAACAGCACATTCTGTATACACCACTACCTCTTAGGGTCGGCCTGCAGACGTCCCTTCTCGTCTCTCTGCATGGACGACCAACAGTCGTCTATGTTCACGTACACGTAGCCGAGTTCCCTCCAGCCGTCCTCTGCGAGTCTGTCGGCCATGTCGATGAACAGATTCTCACTGGAGGAGAAGACAGAAAAGTCTTGATTAGGGTTGTTACTGTTTTCAAGGTATACCGTGATATTAAAATTGTACATTTGCTTTTCTGCGATATTGAAAAAAACACAACTGGACAAAAAAATCTTAACTTTGTTTTAGTTATTTCCAAAAGGTAGACTTTTACACATACTTTTATAAAAAAAATGGCTTCAAATTTCAGATATACACTCACCGGCCACTTTATTAGGTACAGCTGTTCAACTGCTTGTTAACGCAAATAGCTAATCAGCCAATCAAATGGCAGCAACTCACTGTATTTAGGCATTTAGTATTGTAGGATGTCTGCAGTTCACCTCACATTACTCATGAAACATTTACCTGATTGGCTTCATTTCAATATCAGATCTCACAGTAAGCAAACCTGATTCAGACCCTGAACTTAGTGTGTGTACTTAATCTTAATAATTCTTAATCCTAATATCTCAAACAGCAAAGTCCACTTAAATACGAGACCATTCTTTTAAATAGCACCTGCTTAAAAAGAAGTTTTGGTGCGATCACAGTGTTCATATTCATGCTGCTTCTTGCCTGATGCAGTTCTTGGGGTCGTGCTCACAGTCGATGTCACAGCGGAATCGTTCCCACGCCAACCAGCCCATGGGAGGCGTCCTCATCACTCCATTGTCCAGGCCCAAGGTGGCCACACAGAGCGCTGACGCAAACAGAAGCCCCGTCACATGCATTCCTGCAGAGATACAAACCACTCAGGTAAAGTTAAATCTGTGTGCTGGGTGACACCAGGTTACTGTCAGTGTGTGTGTGCACTCTGTGTGCCAAATGACAGGCATCTCTCACACACAAACACACCTGAGTGTCACCTGACTGGGTGTGACGGTGGCAGCAACAACCTGCCAGGTGACTTCTACCAACAGACAGTATGAAGACAGACTGAATCCAAACCAGCACTTACTAAAGGATATTAAGTTATTACAACATGGCAGATATAAATAAATATGCTTATTAACATCATTAACATCTCATTTGACTGTAAGATGTATATGTTGATACCTGTGTGGCACCAAACTGTAGTTTTCTAATGCAGTAGCTAAAAAGTGACTTAATAGATGATTCATCTTTTAGGGGATACACAGACAATATCTGTTGGCATGCACGTGCTTAATAAACATTGTAAAAAGATAAAGGTACTTACTGAAATCCAGTGAGCCGTTCACAGCTCTGAGGCGAAAGACGGAGGAGGATGCACTCTACTCTCCTCAACTCTTCTTCTTCCTCCTTTTCTTCCTCTTCTTCCTCTTCTTCTCTCTCTCTCTCACCTTCACAGACACCCTGTGCTAAACAGACTCTTTAACTGAGTGTAAAGAAATAAACTGATCCGCTCCTCTCGACTCCAATTGAAAGGAAGCGACAGTCACGTGACAGCAGCACAGTCAGCTGACTGCAGAGCAGGAAGTCGGAGGGGAAAGACCCGGGCCGCGTCCCAATATTAATATCTTTTACCCTCTCTCCTCGGTTCCTTCCCTTCAATGTGTCCTTTCCCTACTTTGTAAATCAATTTCTTTGACAGGAATCAGTGAGATCTACATCTGCGTTCATTATGGTCGTAAAAATATAAGTTGCTGTGTCACTTTATGGTTAAGACAGAATTTATTACATATTTATGAGCTTTATGACGTCATTAATGGTTAATAAGTCATTTACTGCAGCTTTATAGAGCAGTTCTGATAAGCCATTCATAAAAATCCACCTCCAGCATGTCACTGAGACATTAATTACAGTTATAAACTCTTTGTAATTGGAGCCTTAATAATAACAATAATAATAATAATTATTATTATTATTATTATTTTATTATTTTCAGTGAACAGCATGATTGAAAATCCTTTGAAAGGGCAGGCATAATGAAAATAAATAATCCAAGTGTAAACTGAAAAAAAAAATAGATCAAATAGTAAGAACAAAAGGCAAAATTGAAAATAAATAAATACATTAAAGAACATAGTGCAGATCAAGCCCTCAAAACTGCTTCCTACATTTCCCATGATGCAAATCTACCATCTACCGTCACACTTATTTTGATAAGGGTAAGGTCAGCATCATTTAAACTCCATACCACACTGTGTTACACAGACTTTTTGTTAAAAATCAGTAATCCATGCACCCAAAGACTACAAAAGATTATGGCATCATCAGGATTATTTTCTCTGACTTCAGAAAGCTTCCTCCAGAGCTGCAGCTGAGATGATGTTGTTTTCACAGACTGGGTAACCCTCCCCATTAAAGCATTACTTTGGTTGATTTACTTTGGTCTGTTTCAACCTGCACCCTATTTTCTCATGTTTCTGTGACAATTTTTGAACAGACTTGTTAACAGACTGTAGTGTAACATTAATCAGCTTGGTGCTGATTATTAAAGGCATGCTTAGGTGGGAAATGATGTGCATAAGAGTCTACGTTAAAGCATCACAGTCATGTTAGTGAACAGACCTGAGGGAGACTAGAGAGAAATCAGAAGTGCTTCTCCTGCTGTATTTATATGCACCTGTTTAGCAAATGAAGGAGGTCACAGAGAAAGACAAATAGCCAGTGGTCAGTGCGGTGTTGGGAATGATATCAAGCTTCAGATGAAAATGTATCTGTCTCTATCTTAAAGTATGAAGGCCCTGAATGTGCTGCAGCGTATCTAACTATATAGTTTGCTAATGAATTTTCACTAAAGCTGCTTTTAAAGCTGTCCAGTAAACACTTATAATATACTCTATGTTATGAGTGACATGACATGCACCTCACACACCTCATACCTTCAGTCCTTTATCTGCGTAATCCTTTCAAAAACATTTCCATTACATGTGACTGAGACGTAATATTTGCATTCGTCATGGTCCACAACTTGCAGATTTTTCACCCCATAGCTTTCAGAAAAGGTGTCAAGCCGCAGCACTCAAAACATAATTTGTTTAAGTACCAAGACCATTTTTCCTCCCTTTTTTTGTCATTGTCTGTTTTTCTTCATAAGTTGAGAGGAGGTCTGTTTGTATAAGCCTGTGGCTTCTTGACCTCTACTGGCACATTTCTTTTTTTCTTTCTGTCTTACTATTTGGATGGCATGTGTTTTATGTGTGTGCAAATAAAAAAAAATAGAAAAATAAAAAAAACATCTGATATATGAAGAAAATCAATTTAGAAAAAATACTTTATACTTTATTAATCCCCCTGAGGAGAAATTCAATTATGATAAAGCATTTAGGGATTTGCAATAAAGTTGCCACAGCTATTGTAAACCTTGAAGGTAAAAGCTTCACAGGACACTTATAACCTGAGGTAAACACACAAGTGTCATGGAGATCTCCATGACACTTGTGTGTTTCCTATTTGATCAGAGGAGCTCCAACATGGAGCGTCTAGCAGGGTGCAGAGTCCAGCAGGAGGTGCACTGAATCTAGAAAAAGACAAGTTATTTCAAACACTGCAAATAGTTTAATAGTGTTATCTGGTTAAGCCTCTACAAACCTGCAGAGATGGTGAGTAGTTCAGATTATGTGGTCCACACTTTTACACTCTGGTGGGAAATCTGTCACTGTATTTCCTTTAAAGTATGTTTTATAGACTGTTTTAATGGTGACAGCAGGCAATGTTTTTTCTTTTTTTTAAATTCTGCATACATATAACCTCACAGAAAAGGTCACCAAGAGGCCGTCTATGGCAAGCCGTTTTAACATTTAATCACTAAGTCCGACTATCCGGAATTACCATTATAGAGATCTATAACGTCATTTTGACTAGTAGTAATGTCATTGCGACTAGTATGAATTTTAATTTAAGATATCTGTAACGTCATTCTGACTAGTCAAAACTGAATTACAGATATCTATAATGTCATTCTGACTAGTCAAAACTGAATTACAGATATCTATAACGTCATTCTGACTAGTCAAAACTGAATTACAGATATCTATAATGTCATTCTGACTAGTCAAAACTACAGTTACAGATATCTGTAATTCAGTTTTGACTAGTAAGATTCAAACTATTTTTGCCATTCATGTGTATGGGGTTTGTCATTATAGATATCTACAATTACATTATGACTATCTATAATTCCAGTTTGAGATATCTACAACGTCATTTTGACTAGTCATAATTCAGTTG